TAAAAAAATTATTTAATATTTTATTATAAATTTATTATTAATTTCAATGAAAATTTACAGAGACTTTGGATTTCCATTCATTCATTGTTGCACTTTTCTCCCCTCCGAAGACTCCCCCCTAGTACACTACACCCTTGGAAAAGTAAATGAAAAATTATTTCATTGTTTTACAAACCCTCCCCCGCGTCCACTCCACCATGTAGCCTTCACTCTGGACTCCTGTCATGACAAAAATACCTAATCACATATCCCTTTTGAACAGTTTTCTCCCTTATCTGTTTCAATGCAATATACATTATTGAACCCATCTTTTTCAGTCTCCCCCCTACCCCAAGGTCAGTCCTGTTTTACAACAGTGGCACCATGCCGTATTTGTCCTTTTTTTTGACTGAGATATTTCACTCAGCATAATGTCCTCCAGGGTCACCCATTTTGAATAATATTGTATGAGTTCCTTGTTTTTCAGTGCAGCATCATGTTTCATTGTGTTTATATACCACAGCTTCTCTATCCGTTCGTTTGTTGATGGGCATTTAGGTTGTTTCCAACTCCTTGCTATTGTGAACAAAGCCATGATAAACATGGGTGTGCATATAACTGCTTGGGTGGCAGTTATGGTGTCTTTTGGGTATATTCCCAGTAGTGGAATTGCTGGGTCTAATGGTATCTCTATTTGAAATTTTTTTGAGAAAGCGCCATACCACCTTCCACAGTGGTTGTACCATTTTACACTCCCACTAACAGTGAATAAGGGTTCCAGTTTCTCCACAACCTTGCAAGCATTTGTTGCTTGCTGTTCTGTTAAATTTTGCTCTTCTAGCTGGTGTGAGATGCTATCTTATAGTTGTTTTAATTTGCATCTCTCTTAGAGCTAGGGATTTTGAACATTTCTTCATGTGCTTGTTAGCCATCTGAATGTCTTCTTTGGTGAAGTGCCTTTTCATATCCTCTGCCCATTTTTCAATTGGATTATTTACGTTTATCTTGTTGTGGTCTCAAGTATTTTTAAATTCTGGATATAAGTCCCTTATCTGATATGTCCTTACCAAATACTTTTTCCCAATCTGTGGCTTCCCTTTTTACCCTGTTGGGGAAGGTTTTGGATGTGCATAGGGATTTGAGTCTTAGAAGATCCCATTCATCTATTTTATCTTCTCCTGGTTGTAGATTTTTCAGGACACTTGGAAGACTGTTTATATTGTGGATTCGGACTTATAGTGTGCTTCCAAGATTTTCTTTAATGAAGCTTATAGTGCGTGGTTTTAGTCCTATGTCTATTATCCACCCTGAGTTGAATAATATTTTTATAAAGTATATAACAATTACATGACACATATACATTTAAAACAAAAGAACTTACACTTTTATTTTGTTCATTTCATCTCCACAAGTCTAGCTATAAACAGAGAGGGATAGGAGAATAGCAAAATTTTGTGTATAGGAGGAATTTATAAATAAGTAAACAAAAAACCCCAACAAGGAATATATCAATTTATAGAAATGCAATGATGCTTGGAAAAAGTAAACATAGAATCTGATGAGAATTTGCTGCTGGGAATGGCTCCGGTTGTAGTGAGGAAATGTCACACTGAAGAGAACAGCAACTCAAGAATTCTTGAAAAATAGAAAGCTGTAATTAAATGTAGGAGTTGAGAGAAGGTTAGAAGAGTCAGCTAAGAAAAGATGGTTGTGATACAAGGAAAAGAAAGTGTCTTTAATATGATATGATAGTTGTTGTTGCTGTTATGTGCCATCGAGTCACCTGCAACTCATAGTGACCTATACCCTAAACCCAGCTTTATGTGCTAATCCACTGTTATATGGGTCTTAGCTGAAAGTATAGAATACCAGAGGAATGTCTACCTGTGTTTCATTGACTATGCAAAGACATTTGATTGTGTGGATCATAACAAACTGGCTGACTCTGAGAACAATGGGAATCCCAGAACACTTGATCGTTCTAATGAGAAACCTATACTTGGACCATGAGGCAGTCATCAGAACAGAGCAAGGGAACACTGCATGTTTCAAAATTGGGAAGGGCATATGCTAGGGATGCAGCCTATCTCTATACATTTTCAAACTGTACGCAGAACAGATTATCCAGGAGGCTGGGCTCTATGAGAAGAAATGTGGGGTCAAGATCAGTGGACAATCTGTCAACAA